TTTGTGGGGTTTGCTGAGATTTCAAAACTGCAATATTTGCCAGAAAGTACACAGGAGGGATGCTGGGGGTACCAAACGATGAGGTGCACTCCTCGCAGCTGCGTCCTACAGGCGCAGAAGATCTGCGAAACACCGCCACGTGTATCTTTGTTGTCATCATGATAAATACTTCCGCTAGGAGCTAGTACTGACCAAAAATGGTTGAACAGTGATCACGCCGATAATCAACGTTGGTGGGTAGATAGTGGCAATTACAGATTCCGATGTAGTCAACGCTGCACCGAGTATGGGCGCCCGAGATGAATGTGGAACCATTAAGTTTGTTATCGGTGCGTGACATCACGGTGGCTGCATGCATCTTGCGTGGTCCCCGCTACTACCTGTTCCTCTCTCAATAAAATCGGATATTTTAACTGTGATGGGAGAGGGGGCGACCGCCTACGCAGTCCTAGAACGATCTGCAAATCACATTAGGACGCGCTTCATGCATCTTTGCCCCCCCCTCTCCCTGGGTTTAACGTAACCGAAGCTGAGATCTCACCTCTTAATTGCGCCTTGTCTGAGTCGCCAGGGAATAACACGAGAAGAAGAGCGCAAAAGCAGAAGTCTCCTTGTGTATCTAGCACAACATATTTAAGGCAAGCAACGCGTATACGGCCATTTCCATTGGACCAACCAGATACTGCCCTGGGGCGAGTAGTGACACGATTGGTTTGTGGCTCGGCGATTGTCTTGTCAGAGTTTTAGTCTGGCCGCAGATTTAATTTATTGATTGCCAGTTGCGTTCGTCGCGTATAGGCGGATCGATAGCCCGCCGTGAGAGCGGCTCGCTGCCTGCCTGCTTGCGTCTTGACATCAGTTTTGCCGCCAGCTGATTCGATTAGGGTGACTCTTAACACCCCCCCTGCCTTTGGACCAATGGATTCTGGCAGGTGTTTGCAACATTTTTTTCCTTTGCCGCCACGACCACTTTTCCCCTTACATCTCCCTTGTTTTCTTGCCCTTCCCTAGGCTACGTGTCCGCCCGTTTGTACAAATTCTTCGGCGGTCTCTGCTGGAAGACCAACGTGCTGGTCACCGCGCTCTTCTGTCCCGGCATTGTCGTCTCCGTGTTCCTGGTACTGAACGTGGTGCTCTCGGCCCTGCACAGTTCCATGGCCGTCTCCTTCACCACTATCCTCGCCCTGCTGGCCATGTGGTTGCTGGTTAGCATGCCGCTCTCCATGATTGGCGCGTTCTTCGGCTTCCGCAAGGATGTAAGTGCAGAGATGGACACATATCTCGGCTATGGCGCACATTTTCTACTGTCTTCTACTTTTCAACACCGCCTACTAGCTGGCTACCCGTTAATAGTGTAATGGCTCCTTAAGATGAGTATCAACCACCTCCTGCAACTATCCATTCTGCTTTCCTGCAGATGAACTTTTCGCGGCGTCTTATGGTGCATTTAGCCACTGTCCCATCCATACCCATATGTGTGGTGGTGGTGGTGGTTGTTGTTGTTGTTGTTGCAGGATCAATTGCAAGGTA